CCGCCCCCAGGGCTAAGTCTCCCGAGCAGCAGCTGTGATTGGGCTGGTGAAAGGACACCTGGTTCTGTGATTAGTCAGCGGTCCTGTCAATCAAGGTTTGGAGTCCGGGGCCTGGCTGCAGGTGCAGAGCTCCCAACAGTCGCAGCTGCGGGTGAGTCCCGAGCAGGGGCACCTGGCTTGAGTGACAGTTGAGGAGGTGAAGGGATCCGGGGTAAGGCCCCTCCTGAAACCCAAGCCTGCTGCTCTTTGTCTTTTCCCATATCCCTTTTGACAATTGCCCTTGTTATTTAAAAAAAACCCAACCTCACTCATGTGAAATACTAATTATATTGAGGTGTAAAAACATGTACAGAGCCCAAAGAAAGGGAAAATTTGGAAATAGTGGTTGTACGAAACCTTGTTTGTTCAAGGCAGCACAGCATGCTTCTGTTTTTTCTCCCCGTCTTGGTAAATGTTTCTGCTAAGAACATAGCTTGGTGCCGGCCTCTGGCTCCAGGTACATCCTAGGGGTGGGGATGATAAGCTCTCACGCCCTTGCCTCTCCCATCCTCAGACTTCTCTGAGAGACTGCCCGGTGGCTTCTCCAGGAAAATCCCGTAAGATCCTTACAGAGTGTCAGTGAGACACTGAGGGTGGTGGGATGCTTTTTTCAGGCGGCAAAGTTACCATGAGGCCCTTTACTTTTTCTCTCCTCTCTTTGTTTTAGTGCCTGTATAACGTAGACATCGAGCTGAAAAGCAGGATGATTTTCATGAGGATGAGAATGTTTGAGTTGAAAATGAGTGAGAGGTTTCGTTTTTGGAGAAAGCTTATACGGCTGGTTGATTTAGTAATGAAAACCGTTTGCGAGTAGCTAATATGGCAGTTGCCTTAAGTTGAATGAATTAAATATGTAACGATAAAGGCTTTGACAAAAACTACTTGAGGCACTACCCACGAGGATGGCTATAGTAATAATAATAATAATTTTTAAAAAGGCAGACAATAGCAAGTGTTGACAGGGCTGTGGAGACATGGGGACCCTCGCAGGTTGCTGGTAGGAATGTAAAATGGTATAGCCCCTTTAGAAAACCACATATCGTGTGGTTTTATCTATGACAACATGTTGGTGATAACACTCCCATAGAGAAAGGGAGCAGGTGGGAGAGGGGAGAGAGTCCTAGTCTGCATTAGGTCTAGGAAAAGGCAAAGCAGAGTGAGAATATATGTCCTTGTGCTTTCAGCATTCACTAGGGAAGTTGAGGAGAGTTATTATATAAATTCATTACAGAAGACAAGGATATTTAATTCTGATAAGCTAGCTGAATATAGATATCCTTAAAGGTATATAGATTCTAAAAAAATTTGGTGAGATATCACCAGTTTCCTTTTTTAAAGGGTGTTTTATTTTATTTTTAATATATCTTTACTGATTTCAGAAAGAGAAAGGGAGAGGTGAGAGGGAGAGAGAGAGAAACATCAATGATGAGAGTCATTGGTCAGATGCCTCCTGCACGCCCTCCACTGGGGATCAAGCCCGCAACCTGGGCATGTGCCCTGACCCGGAATCGAACCACGATCTCCTGGATCCTAGGCCGATGCTCATCCGCTGAGCCGTGCCCAGTCTGGCAACAACGCTAGTTTTTTTATAAGGTGGGGATCCGAGCAATAGATGCTAATTCTCTGTCCCCCATCTAGGCTTAGAAATCTCAGCAGTGAGACAAGGAAATACAGGTCCTTTTAGTAATTACGAAAGCTTGTAGGATGTTGCTATGACCCTAATATGATTTAGTTCTTGCATTTTCTGGGCAGCAGAAAGCAGTGGCCTTTAGTGGAAGTCCAAGGTCCAGGGAGAGAGGTTGTGTTGCTGCCCAGGGTTTTTGTTTATCTTTTTCTTTCTCCCACGTGGCTTGCAGAGGTGAGGCTATTGAATGCGATCAGGATGGGCTAATCCTGTAGCAGCTGGAAGCAATTCACAGTATCTTGTGAATTTTGATGGGTTGACCGTTTATCAAGCCTGAAATTAATATTTCAGTATTTCCCCTACTCTTTTCAGTGTACTTTTTGCAAATTTCTGACCTAAAGAGTTTTGTTATGTTGCTAGTGCTATGTCTTGCTGTGCCTACAAGGGGAAGTTTAATCCCCTGTGCTTCTAAAAACACCACCCAATCTTCCTGTTTCAGCATCCAAAAATACATTCTAGCCCTTTAATCGTTGCTTTTTCCTGCTGTGTTTTTAAGGCAGAAAGTGGAGGAGTGGGAAGGTCATATATATGCTTATATCCAGCTAGTAAATTTGAGACAAAACTTGACACATAACCTATGCTAAAACATATGATATAAGGAAATTCTTTTGTGGAAAGAATTTTGGAAAATACCTAAAACAGTTTAATTTTATTTAGTTTTGCTGCTGAAAATAAATCTTCAATAACAATGAGCTAAGATACCCCAAAGTGTATAGATATGGAAGTCACATTAGGACCTTTTATATCATGTTATAATAAAAACAGCTTTGTAAATGTTTTTAATGTTTACTTGTGTAGGAAGTACTAATGGCTTTTCTGGAAAGTAGTAGTGAACACCTGATTTATATGGTCAACATATTGCCAGGACGTGGGCTCATTTTTGGCCCCTAAAATGTCTCTTATGAACAAAGGTACAGTTGTATATACCTCATTTCTCACCTGTATTAGTGCTCCAAAGCAGTGATATTGTGATTAGCTGAGATAACTGTGGAGAGTGAAAACCGCTGAGCAATCTAGCTGCCCACGTGGTCATCCTTGAACTACTCTACAAATTTATAATTTTGAAAATTTTGATTTCCCCCCTTAATGATCAGAATCTGGAATCTGGCAATTTGAATATCCAAATGAAACACACACACATACACACGTGTGTTTCGTCACATTCACTGTCAGTGTGGTTACCGAGCAAACACAGGTTGGACGACTCGCCTGGCCCTTGCCTTACCAGTTCCCGAGGATCTTTGAGCACAAAGCGGCTTCACGCAGACATGTGCCCACAGGGCGCTCTGTGCGTGCTCGCTGCTTTGACAGCTTTCTGGCATTTCGTGCAGCACCCTCACTCCCATTCTGCAGAGAGAGTGTAAAAACCAAAATGAAAATTTCCAGGACAAAATTCTATTTTTCTAAAATCCCAAGGCTAGCAATATCCTCAATTGTTTGAGCTAAAATGAAAATGAAGAGATGATTCTTGAATATTCCAGTCAGAAGAGGAAGAAAAACATATTTAAAAAAATCAAAATTTGGTAAAAACGTTCAGACGTAGCTGCTTTTTCAGATGAAGTTAAGAGTTGGAGGAAATGCTTCCGGTAAATAAGACCAGGGTTAGAAATCCATCCTGGGCATACATTAGAAGTTTTGTCTGGGACATGTTATTTAATCTCTTTATATCTCAGTTTCTGTATTTATTCTTGTGACCTATTATTTACACCCCAAGTTTTTTCCGAAGATTGAATGTGATGCCCCATGCAATACAAACGTGCGCGCTAAATCTTGCATTATGTGCACAATTAATAAATGACAGATTTTATTAGAAGCCAGTATACTGTCAGGCATCTCAGTTGAAAATGGTGAATAATAAAAAGTAATATCTAACACAACCTATGCCAGGATCTGTTACAAATTGTGTATATAGTTTCACTCATTCATCCTCCTGGATGGTACTATAATGATCTCCAATTGCAAATGAGGAAACTGAGGCACAGATATGTTATCAGGTAGATGTCAGCAGCAGCTACTCTACGAGTAAGATGAGAGGCAGAACCTCTTTACCAAGCGGGTACGGGACAGATACTCCCCCAAACGCTCTCTCCTCCCCTCACCGTGTGTACATCACTTGAAGCACTGCCGCTCTCTCCGTGTGCAACACATTGCCAAACAAACAGTGAAACCTGTTTTAAGATGGGCTTTTATCTATATGCACATATGCACAACCCAAGGACACAGACAGTGATGGGGAGAGGGACTGGGGAGGGGGGTGGGATGGGGTGGAATGGGTCGTTGGGCAGAAAAAGGGACATCTGTAATATTTTAAACAAAAATAAAATAAAATAAAAAAAGGCTTTTATGGAGAATCATTTAG